ATTTAAAACAGTTCAAATTTAACCCAAATTTGGGTTAAATTCCATTGTTTTATTTAAAAATAACCATATTGTTTTAGTTAAAAATAACTATTTGTTAAATAGGAGCAGTGGCGATTTAACTAAGGCTAAATTTAAAACTATAGATTTAACAAACAGTGTACCGCACGATTCTTGAACATAATTTTTTTAAATATTCATTTGACATTCAATTCGCCACACAGCTCAGTTTCGTTTAAATCTGTATGTTATCACATTTTAGTGAGAATTATTCCGTTTGACTCCTGCCACCAATTTCTGTGCAAAATAAGTGCCATATAATACGACTTAAATTGCAATAACAACAACCTTGCCATTTTTACTGCTATGAAACACAGAAATCTATACTTATGATCCAGCTTTTTTGTGTGGAGGACATTGATCGTTTGACCTCCAAACAAAATGACCATACAAAGGAGTAATCGTGTGTTATTAATGTTGTTTTTCTTAAATAATCATTTAGTCGACATTTTTATTTACGACATTTTTGTATAATGTATTAGCGTTTATTTAACATTGGTAATGATCGGATAACAGCCGGTCGAAATGTCTGGTTTCAATAGTAGTTACATACTTAATTCTTAGCATTAGCCATGCTTGGCTCGTGGCTTTTAGTTAGTAGTGTATTAATTTTATATTATTAGAGCCTATTTTACCATTTGTTTTTTTAACAATTATTATATTATTAGTGTTATTACTATTATCATAGTAAGTTTGTTACATAAACTGTTAAACCAGTCAATTATTTTTAATAATATATAAAAGAATGTACGAAATACTTTTGACCATTAAAAACAAGAATATACAAATAAAGAAAAAGTATTATTTTCTTAAAACATTGTTTATTTAATTTTGATTGATAAGCAGCTAATTGCAATGGTCAATGTATAACATATTTTATTTCTTCGTATTTATATATTCGTATCGCAATGTCTTACTATTGCAGAAAATAAATTTACACTTTAACATTATTGATATAACTATAACGCTGTAATGTAAAAAGACATTGTGTCTTATTAATTCAACGCATTTATGCAAGAAATTGATCTGCTGACACAATACTTGTGAGTTTTTGTCTATTTTTTACATAAATATCGGTAAAAGGCGCTGATTGTTACAGCAAATTCACAGTTCTATGTTTGATTTTTATATTGATTCGATCAATAAGTATTCTCAGTTGTGAATGATACAAGACATAAGAAGTATTTACTTTATATAAGTAAGTTTTTTGTTCTTTTTACAATATTTTTATATAATTTTTATTTTGTAGTTTCTTTATATTGAAAAAATTAATTTTTTGTTTTTCTTTAATTTTTAGCATTTGATAAAATAGTTCTTTAATTTTAATAATATTTAACAGATTTGTTTCGAAAATAATCAATTATTTGAAAAATATGAAATTTATTATAATCAATTACACAACAAAGAATTTTCTGTTTTTTTTTTATTACTTTAATTATAATTATTAACTTCTGTTCACTTTTCAAATCTATTTTCTGCACAGCATTGCGACAGTAAGCATTACGACACAAATAAAATATTTTTTAATAATTATAATTTGAATAAGACCGCCTATGTGAATAACACAACTAACTTCGAGAGCGCCTTTTCGCGGTCACGGCTGGATCTATGATGCCTAATAAATTCTATACGAATTTTTCTGAACTCCATAAACTGTATGCCGATTAAATGTTCGGACTTGAAACACAATAATTAGCTGAGGCTGGAATAGAAATATCATATTGATCTTCCTAAAATATTTTTTATTTGACTCTTGTTTGTCTGTCTTTGTTTTTTTCTGGCGTATCAATTTCACACGCGTTGAGCTAAAAAATATGCTTTCAGTTTAGAGATATAGCGTGTCAAAGTTAAAGGATTTCATAGATCCTGCAGTGGTGAAGAAAATAATCAAAAATTACCCATGGTCACCTAAGGTTAATTTAAGAATTAAATTAT